CCCCCCCCCCCCCCCCCCCAAATTCCGCTTCAGTTCTGTTAATAGTTTTGCTCGCAGCCGTCTGTAGATACTATAATCGTGGGAAAATAATGACAGTTATCAGTCGCACCCACCAAGTACCCATAAAAAAAAAATCTGTCCTCTGTTCTGGAAGATGATAATTATTGGTTGTACTACCATTATCATTGTCGTTGTTGATAGAGGAAAATCTTGAGGCATTTTTTTTTCTTTCTCCCCCAAAGTAATTCCAGAGAAATCACTTCAAATTGGCCCATTTCAGGGGGGGACAAGGGACCATGCTTTGGCTATATAGCCTAATATTTCACAGAAATCTTTAAATCCCGCAGTTGCCAGCCTGGTGGGCACATTGTGGCGCACAACACGCCGTGATGTCAGCCGCCTTGCATTTTTTTCCTTCTTCTTCTTCTTCTTTTTTCTTCTCCTTTTTTTTGGATAACGACTTTTGCAACTTGCCAGTGCAGTTTTTTTTCTCCCCCCACTTCAATTATGCAATTACTCTGATAATCGCAGTGAGGGAATTTAAGCGCCTTTAATTTGTTYTTCAGGTGGAGATGATGGAGGGACCGTGGATGATGATGGAGCAGCTCGGCTGCGCTCCTCCTGCTCTCCACAGACGGAGGAGCTGCAGGCTGCGCGTGAGACCTGAGGGAAGGAGGAGATCCGGGGATTCTTTGCTCCATGCTTTTCAGAGGAGGTGCGTCCTGCAGAGGCTCTCTGACCTCGGATGGCGCGGATTTATCTCCTTCTGCATCACGTAACTCTTTTTTAAATGTTATTTATCTACACACATCTTTCGTTTTAGCTGTATTGTGTGATTGCCAACCTGTGAGCTTTTTATTTAGAAGAACCAGGCACAAAATAGATTATGGTTTTGTTCTTTAGTTTGACTTAAACCAAATTATCCTGTCAAGGAATAAAATCTGACAAATTGAAAAAGCATCACTGATTGTGCATGAAATTTTGTTGGGAAACATAAGAAAATTGGTTTGCAATGAAAGCTGCTAAAACAGATGTGCAACAAAACATCCATCCGAACAATTAAATGTAACATAAAATCTACATTTTCCATCTTCTATAAAGAATTTAAAACGTTCACAATTCTAATGGCTACTCCTTTAATTAATTAAAAAAGATTAGTGAGTGTTGCAGTTGGGTTTTTGTGTGTTTTAGGTGATATGTGTCATCCTAAGGCCTACCGTCCTGCTGCTGCCAGGTGCTGAGACCTCAGCTCGCGCTACGTGTTAAATACATGACTAATTACAGACCTGCTTATGAAAACTGAACGCCAGTGTTATGCTAATACACGGCCTCCTCCTAATGGCGCATTAGGAGGTTTAATCAAAAAAAGCTTTAATCAAACTGGCCGGCAGACAAAGCAGCTGGAACCAAGGTGAAAATGTTGTTTAAACTCTATTAGATGTCACTTTTTTTAAAAAAAAACTAACTGGAACATAAAAAGCCTGATGATYCAGTGAATCTTGACATGTCAAAAAGGAGATCTGAGGTTTTATGGGTTTCCTTGACTTCACCAGGTTCTTCGGACCCAGCCCCAGCGTCACCAATCGTCTTCTCCCTTGGAGAGAGTGGACCAATCAGTGACAGCCTCCGATGAATATTCATGAGTCCGAGATTCAAACCTTTGAGCGAGTTTGTCTTGCTCCACAGCATCACTCCTGGGACTTTTCACGGGCACAAACGGCATTTTCTTATGAATGGAAAGAGAAAAAAATCGGCTCGGCTTAAATTGGGACCCGTCCTTCACTGAGATCATAGGAGGAAAACAACAAAAGCGAGACGAGYGGAACCGCCAGAAGAGATGACAATGACTGCGATTCCAGAAAGTCTTAATAGCCCTGCCTCAGGAAAAGCCGTTTTCATGGAGTTTGGACCCCCGAGTCAACAAATGTCGCCTTCCTCCATGTCTCACGGACACTACCCCATGCACTGTTTACATTCTGCAGGTCACACACAGCATGACAGCTACAGTCCYGCCTCGTCCTTCCCCAGATCTCTGGGTTATCCATACGTGAACTCGGTCGGCAGCCATCCCACCAGTCCATATCTCAGTACAGTACAGACTTACCAAAACAGCTCGGGACTCACACAGACACGACTGGAGGACGCAGGTATGTGGACTTTCTGTGTTTCTGCGGGCTTTTCAAACAGTCCCTGCTTGGGGAGGAAAATAAATGACGACCCAGATGTGGYATTAAGCTTGTCAATTATTTATTGCGTAACGCTACAAACAATGTATGCAATTAAGTGTAATTATACCTAAAGTACAGCCTGTTAAACTTGTGCTGAAGTATTCACTGCAGCGCAAAACTGGTTCTACAGCTGCTCCTCGCATGCTTCTGTCCTCTTCATTTTTTTCCCCCTTTTGTGTTTCTTTGTCTCCATCAGCGCCGGAATCCGAGAAGAACACTGTGGTGGAAGGCGGAGAGGTGCGATTTAATGGCAAGGGGAAAAAGATTAGAAAACCAAGGACTATTTATTCCAGTTTACAGCTTCAGGCTTTGAACAGGAGATTTCAACAAACTCAGTATTTGGCGTTGCCGGAGAGAGCGGAGCTCGCCGCGTCGCTGGGTCTCACTCAGACACAGGCAAGGCTGGGAAACTTACACC